AGTTCAATTCATAAACTAAAAGTTCAATTCATATCCAAATATTTTAATTTATAAACTAAAAATTCAATTCATATCCAAAAGGTCCAATTCATAAACTAAAAATTCAACTACAAATCCTAAAAGTTCAATTCATATCCTAAAATTTTAATTTATAAACTAAAAGTCCAATTCATATCCAAAAAGTTCAATTCATAAACTAAAAATCCAATTCATATCCAAAAGGTCCAATTCATAACCAAAAGGTCCAGTTCATAAACTAAAAGTTCAACTACTACTACTAAACCCTAGATTCTAACTAAACTATTCAAGACTATACAAAGTATAATTCCAATCTTACTAAACTATTCAAGACTAATTAAACTAATTAGTTAATAAAATTAATAAACAAAACTAATTAAAACAAGACCTAAACCCTAGTCCTCAGTAAAATACAATGTTCAAAGAATTGAAACACTAATTGAAACAATAAAATACAATGTTCAAATAATTGAAACAAAAAACAGAAATAACAAAGAAATGGGTTGTAATTCAGACCTAGAATTTTTAGGTGGAGAAGGAGAGGGGCGGCAGTCCCAAAATCAGTGGCAGCGGCAGCAGCTTCGGCGACGGCGACGGCGACGGGCGGTAGCTACACGGGGTGGGGAATGGGATTTGTGTGAGGGAAATAGAGAAGGGGAGGGGAATGTATTGAGGGAGGAGTTAGGGAAATTTTGGGGAAGAAATTAAGAGAAATGGGGGGAAACCCGTATTTCTTTCTGATTTTCAGAATTACCGGCCAAAGTTGGTCGGTAATTTGGTCGGTACATTAAGTGTTGACCGTTTGACCAAATACCGACCAACTTTGGTTGGTTTTCTTAAAAAAACTAAATTCTTTTTTTGTTGTTTTTATTTTTTAACATATTATAAGCTATAAAAAAAATTATTATTAACTATAAATATTTATTTTATTTAACTTATTATAAATAATTATAAACTATAAGAATAACCTTTACAAAAAATTATATTAAATAGATAATTATTTTTAATAGATTATAATAGCATCTATGTAAGTGAATTTTTAAGTTATATTTAAATATATGAGTAGTTTTACACACACACAAATTATATTGTAATTGATGATCAATCTTATACATTACTACGTACGTACGAATAATTAATCAATTGATAAACCAATATAATATTATTCTATTTTAGGTCGAGACGTTTTGTTTTTTATATTAATCGATATAGGTCAAAACGTTTTATTTTTAATATTCATCGATGCATCTAAATAAGATATAAGTCGATGAATCAATTTACAAGTCTATCAATCCCTAAAAGAACCGGACCATGTGTTCCTAGCGCTTCATGTTCTTATATATATACGACTATCAAAGTATACACACACACACACACACACACATACAGCCACTTCATTGTTATAGTATATGTTAGTGTGTGTGTATATATAACACACACACACTTCGTTATAGGCCGAGACGTTTTGTTTTTACTATTAATAGATATAGGTCAGACGTTTTGTTTTTAATATTCAACGATGCATCTAAGTAAGTTATAAGTCGTTGAATATTAAAATCAAGACGTCTGACCTATATCTATATCTATATAGATAAGGGTCATGTTCTTTTAGGGATTGATAGACTTGTGAAGATCCTAATTAAATATATAGTTTATCATCAAATATATCTCTTTGTAAATCGATTCATCGACTTATAACTTACTTAGATGCATCGTTTAATATTAAAAACAAAACGTCTCACCTATATATATAGCATGTTATAGTATATGTTAGTGTATTCATCCCTTGTATTACAAAAGTGTTAACGGATTACATTTATATTATTTAGATAGTAAATATAAAAGTGATTTAAATTTTTACCAATGTTGACCTAATAACCGACCAAAGTTGGTCGGTTATTTTCTAGATATTAAAAAAAAGCGACCAAAGTTGGCCGGTAAATGCTTCCCCTGTATTAACCGACCAGCTTTGGTCGGTAATTTTAAATAAGATTTCTTTATATTTTATAAAATATTTTAAATAATAATATAACTATTAAAATTTTATAACTGGGTCCCACATTACCGATCAAAGTTGGTCGGTAATGTGAAATTTTCTTTGACTACATAAGTCTGACCAGCTCGGTCAACCTGTTGACCACATTACCGACCAACTTTGGTCGGTAATTTATTTAAAATAAATATAAAATATTTTTCTCCCCTTTACCGACCAACTTTGGTCGCTTATCTGGACAGACCAATTCTGGTCGCAAAAGTTTGGTCGCTAATTTTCGGATTTCTAGTAGTGAATAAAGTAGGCTGTGTTATGAAATATTATATTTTGTAGTGGATGTCTATAACTCCTAAAGAAGTTACTCCCACTACTCTTCTCCATTAACCTCCCACTACTTCTTACCATTATGGATGTAACTCCCACACCTTCATGATCTTCCCCCATGTTCTCAATAGTTAATACCATGTTCATGGCGTCCCTCTGTATTACCTATGGGCATCACATTATACACACTTGGGAATACATTGAAGAAATAAGAATCTCTCCTCTCTTTCTCTCTATATTCTTGTCTATTTGCTTGTTTCATATTATTACTTTGAGCTAAGTTTCTTAATATGCTACCGGTTTACTTGAGACATACAGTTACAAGCTTTGTTCAATATCTCATCGAGTTTTGAGTACGATAAAATTGTACATGTATGATCTATAAGTCATTGGTTTAAACCTTAATAGTCATTACACGAACAATGTATATAACTTAAATTAATTTTTTAATTGGGGGTGCAAATGCAATCTTTGGTAGAGTTGCCATCCGTGTGGAGCCTTTTTGCATGCTTTCATCATGTTGCGAATGTGTTGTCCATTAAAATGGTTGTTTTTACAATATTCTAGCTAGCTTCTATTTTAAGGCCAAATTGAAAATTTTGAATTAAAGCCACATATAATGCCATCACGTTGGATTTGGTGGGTTTGTCGTTGTCACGATCACTTCTAATTATAAAAATTTCACTCTAAAAAAGGAATAATTGAAGTCCAATTAATTATCCAACAACAAAGCGACCTTTTATAGCACGTAGTTCTAGTTACATCCACTTGGACATAAAAAAAATTAGAATATTAAGTTGTTAGAATTTATGTTCGTATTTGATTGGATTCTAGTTTCTAGATATTGGTTAATGCAACTCAAATACGCATAATGTTAAATTGCAAGGATGATATAATTCATATTATCTTCTTCTTTTTTTTTATCATCCGGTGTTCGATATTTGTATTGGGACCTGACTAAATTTAGATTTGCATCAGAAAGTTTTACATTAAGGGATAAAGCGCTCCCTAACAAAGGCGACTCCACACACAGGGCTCGAACCCGAGACCTCTGATTAAGGATGAAAGAATGCGACAAACCTTATACTAATTCATATTATCACTACTCTATACCACTAGCAATGTAGATAACAGTCAAATTTTCCTTAATATTTGGCACTTGCGGATGCTTCCTTTCCCTATGTATATTTGCATCTATATTCTATATGTAAAGAGGTGTTGAATACGTATTATACTTGAACGAAAATAGAAAAAGTTCTTCCTCTTTGGCATAAAAACCTACGATGCATAAGTTGAAACTTAAATTCTCTTGTATACCTTTAAATAAATTATTTGGTCACTTATCACTATGCTAAGAGGTAAACTTATAGCAGGATTTAACTTATACTAGTATCTATGAACGTGCATTGTACGTTAATAATGACACGTGATGATTTAGACATTTATTTATATGAAGGAACAATAAAATTTAATTAATAAGAGAAATTTTATGTATAATAATACAACAATCATCTAAATGCCAAAACATATTATTACATTAGCATAATACATGAATTTAAAATAAAAGTACATCATCAAACTTACACAAATGATCAATTTTGTCATGTTAGTTAGATAATTATATATTATAGTTTAAAAGTATTTAATGTGATGGTATCTTAACGAACACTTCTTTGTCGACAATATTTTTTTGTGTATGTTTTCTCCTAACGCATTGGTTGCTCTGCTTTAACCAAAACTCTTATTGTCGTCTTGATATCCCTCTTGAAAGTACAGCATACAGTTGTTCGTGCAAAAAAATATATTGCAGTAAATATAGTCTAATATTTAGGATGTTTGTCCTTGTGCTTTATTTATTATATTTGCAAAACATAAGCATACTAAAAATTATTTTCACACAAATTTAAAAGTATATTCCTTAGTTTCGGAAGATGAAAGTTGAATTCAGGATAAGAATATACTTAGAAACACTTTATAACCAGTATCATAATTTTTGCATCTATGATATTTTTGTCAAAACTTCTATATACCATCTGTGTGCTATATTGTCAATACAGAAAGCAATTCCTACAATTTTGCATAAGTTGAAATTTATACTTAGATGTCTCGATAAGATTTTGCCAGCTTCTTAAATGAGTGTTAGAAAATTAAATTCTCTTGTATACTTTTGAATAATTTTTTTGCGTAAGCTATCACTATGCTAAGAGGTAAACTTACAGTAGGATTTAACTTATATACACTGATAATATTAAAATTTTAGTGTATTTTAACCTATTATAGTAGGTAACCGTTTTATTTCTCTATGTTACTAGTTTTAGGTTTATGACCGATTATCTGTAGTTGTCTAATACGTGACCTAATAGTGTAAATTTTTTCAAATTTATATTTAAAAAAAACAATTAATATAAAATATCTTTCGTGTTACGGCGGCCACCAATTGGTGGAAATATGTATGAATAAACTAAAGTACATTATTGGATAAGTCCATAATAAAAGATATATACACCAAACTCGTTAGAGAAGATAGTCGTGGCAACCACTTTATAGTCTTTTTACTAATTCGTTTCTTCATATTTTTGATCACTTATATATTTCTCATCCCTTTATGTATTTCTCAAAGAGAAACCAGTTCTTTGCTTGTTAATTAAAGTCAAATTAGAGTTAAATGGGTTCAAGTTCACAAATATGCCACCAAGAAGAGAAGAAAACCATTTCATTCTTTGACTATGTTGCCAATATGTTAAAAGAATCATTCCAATGCCTTACCATTATTCTCCTCAGTCTTCTCCTCCCTCTTTCCTTTATCGTCCTCGCCAGGCTCTCAGTCGCTCGCTATCTTATTACCACCTCAACTGAGTACTACACACGGCCTGATTCTCTTCTCGTCAAAATCTTCCTCTATGCGAATCCCAATATTTTGCACGTACTAGTTCCACTTGTCGCTGTTTCAGCTCTCATCCACGGGTTAACAGGTCGAACCATATTGTTCATTAAACAATCCGCGGATCACATGACTTATTCTAAACCTTGTCTGTATACCGCGTGGTTTTTTCTTTTCATGCTTCAAATATGTGTGTGCATAGGTGTAGAAGGTAGCATAGCTATTGGAATAGGTGGTAGTTCAAGTTTTAGTCATCATGAAAGATTATGTTTATTGAGTAGAGTTATATTCTTTTTCGGGTTGCATGAAACGACGTCGTTTTGGGCCAAAAAGGTGGTGAAGCCGGTAGTGGACGACACGGTTTTCGGGGTCAAAACGGCGGATGATAGGATGGTTGAGAAGGTGGCAATGGCAATGAGTTTTGGTGTGTTGTGGTGGTGGAAATTGAGGGATGAAGTTGAGTCTCTAGTTGTTGTGGCTGAGATGAAAAGAGAGTTGATAGGTAGTGTTGATTTGGTTGATTTTGTTGGTTGGTGGTTGTATTATATGACTCTGGCAATTGGTATGGTTAAGATTGTAAAGGGTTTTATTTGGGTTTGTTTTGTTATGTTTTGTGGGAATGTGGTTCATTTGGAAAATGCTGACTATTCTACAAGAAATGATGACAAGGTCTGAGAGTTGATCTGATCTTTTCTTTTAATTTTTTTTTTTTTTTTTTTGTCTCTAATCTTGATTGTTAAAAAGGGAGTAGATTATTGTTTTTGTTTGGTCAATGAGGGGGACATGTATGTATTTTTTAGTAAAACAAATGCAAATACAAGAATTTCTTATTGAAGCCATAGTTGAGGATGGTGTAACGCCGTCGACTTGTTGGGACGGAGAAAGATAATTTTAATCTTTTGTTTCAGATTGAAATAAATGGCTCACAAGAAAATTTGATTAAAATAGTAGAAAGGAAAACAATAAAAGAATTAAATAAAAGTTACCATGGTTGATTGATTGATTCTACATTTCCATATAACTCATTTAATTTAATTGTAGTTATTCAAGCCCTTTTAATTTGCTGGAACCTAAGTGATATGAAAGGGTGAAACGGAACAAATTTCTGCTCCTAAACTTTAAAGTCATTAAAGAACGACAGTTATAGGAAAAAATGAAATTGTATAGCCGCTCTAAAAATAATACTAGCCGAAAATATGTACAGGAACAGGCGTATTTTTGAACAAAAACATAGAGTCTGGGAGCAGATTGCGAAGGAAATAGCTTATGTTGTTAGTGTTCGAGTTACTCCTAGGAACAAGTCTTTTGTGTATAGCTTATGTTTCTAGGAAGTAGAGTATGAAGTGTCCATAGATTGATAGCAAGCTGTGTTAGTTTTGCTATGGTTTTGTAATTGCTACTTGGTGATTAATAAAATAAGTTAGTTACCCAAAAAAAAACAACTTCTCTATAACAGCCTCATTTGTTCCGGATATTTTTGGATATTATAGCGAATTGCTGTTATAGAAAACATATATTATAATAGAACATGAGATTTGGTTCTCGGAAAAATTTGACTTTTATAGAGAAGTGTTGTTATATAAGGATGAGGTCTGACTGTATAGAATTTGTATATTTTTTTGTATATATATACATTCTGTATGTTATATACAAAAATTATACAAGTTTTATACACGTTTTCAGCTACCAAATGTAAATAGTTTCTGTCGGGGGCTAAAAGTGATAATACCCCACAGTTATACACAAAAGATCCGACGAGGCGACGAAATTAATTAAGCTTTCAAAAAAGGCCGTCCGATGCATGAATCATCCCGCATCCATCGCAGGGTCCAGGGAAGAGCTGCAGCCCAAGGGGTGTGATGTAGGCAGCCTATCCTGATGCAAGAACCAATAGTTGATTCCATGGCTTGAACTCGTGACCTATAGGTCACACGAAGACAACTTTACCATAGGTCCAAAGCTCCCCTTCATTAATTAAACTTTCTGTTAAATCTAAAGAACGGTTATTACATTAAGAAGCATAAATTGGATGATGGAAAGTTACTCTTCATTCAAAAATTGTTCAGTTTGCAATCATGATTAGTACTCAAATATTATAATCCAAGAGCGAATTATCCAAAGAAACCATGATTAGTTTAAATGCACAAAACTTAAAAGACTACTGACCTCTTCAATTTCCAGGATGTCCAACAATCAGAAATGTTTATTCTGTTGTGTGTTTCTTTTCTATTTCCTTAAGACAAGTAAGCCAAACAAAGTCCTATGATTATCAGGTTTTTGTCCTGTGCCCTGTCATAACTAAAATGACATAATAATGTACCTCCTTTTTTCCCATTACTTTGACCAAAAAGACATCAATTCACAAGCTCAATTGCTCTACACACTGTATCACTTCTGTTCCTTACTGAGACAGACATTTGGCCTGCAGACTTTCCTTTTTGTTTCTCTTATGCCCATTTCCTTCTAACCATGGCATTTCAACAATATCTCATTGTCTCAATCGTCTTGTCCAAATGCATAAAATTCCTTAATCAAACTCGTTAAGGCCAATGATGAGCTACCTCAGTCAAGGTTGCTTTTAGAGATACAAACAATTTGAGACTATCTTTCATTTGGACTTCTCTGCTTGTCCTAAGCATGAAAACATCATCCTGGCATTGATCTTCCAAAACTTTCGCCATGACCAAATTATTTTTCTTCGTGAGGACAAAAACTTCACTTTCAAACCCGGGTAAATTCCTTGCTATATATCTTCCAGCAGTAAAATACAGCTTGCTGAAAGCCTAACATCACCAAGACTATAAATCTGATCTAGACTACTTCTTCAGGTAACAAGTTAGCGATACAATAGGGAGAAGATTGTACAGTTCTAGGCATGGACCAAGTGTCGATCCCCGCCATTGATTTCAGTGTTCTCCAGGGTGGTCACAATCATCTTCAAGAGAGTGGGAGAAATGAATTGGTCGACAATGGCGTAGTAGATCCTTGGTTTGGATTGGATAGTGAGGATCTTTTTTCTCTTTACTCTGTCTTTGACCTGAAATATCAAGAGAATACATCAGACAAACATGTTCAACTATCAGAAGATCAGCAACAGAACATCTCAGATTATTGCACTCAAAGTGACGACTCTTCTTCCAACATGGACTTTCCCCTGCAGCCTGTCCAAATTCAGTCCACCTTTGAAGCATCTAATAGGATTCAGCCTCAAGAACCAAGGCTTGGCAATTTCCATGGAGAGAAAACAAATCCCATTTCTTCAGCATCGTTGGAACTGTTGAACAATTGTGGGAGATTGTTCAAGAAATCAAGCAAGAAAAACTTGAGCAACGTACACATCAACGAGGCTCGTGTAGGTAATATCCCTAGGTTGTCAACAGAAGAAATCTTGCGAGTTGCTGGAGAAAGATATATACAGTACTCCACCCAAATGGTAGATGGCCTTTCCATGTTTATTCATCCTTATGCGTCAGCACTTTCGGGCCTTTCCATGGAGCAAACAAGGGACATGGAACTTGTTCACCTCCTTCTAGCTGCTGCAGAAGAAGTGGATCAACAGCAATTTCATCTGGCTAGCCAATCCGTTGCACGTTGCCTGTGCAAGGCATCTGCTACAGGTAATGTTGAACTTTGTGATCACTTCTATTAGAAAGTCTACACTTTTATTTACTTAGTTATATCTCCAACACGCTCCCCCACTTGCGGGTCTAATTCTTTCATCGGCAAGCACGCGGGGATTCGTTTTTTATAGTGGGTGGTGGTGAGACTTGAACCCAAGACCCAATCTTATACCATGTTGAGTTGTGTGACTATCTAGAGAATACACATGTATTTACTTGATTATATCTTCAACAGGTAACCCAATCCAGAGACTTTGTTTCTATTTTGGTGAAGCTTTACAAGAAAGGATTGATCGAGAAACAGGAAGGTCCCCAAGTTTTGAAAGAAAATTAAGGTTTTTAAGCACTCTAGCATTAGGTACCACACCTGAAGCCTTAACCTGCCACACAGAAATTCCATTCAGCCAAGTAATGCAGTTCGCAGGAGTTCAAGCAATAATTGAAAATGTTAAAGGTGCAACCAAGATCCATTTGGTTGATTTTAATATCAGAACTGGAATTCAGTGTACAGGCTTGATGCAAGCTCTTGCAGAACAACGTGACCGTCCAATTGAGCTTCTGAAGATAACTGCCATTGGACACCAAGAAAAAGAGAAAATCGAAGAAACAGGCAAGAGATTACAAAGTTTTGCCAATTCCTTGAATCTGCCCTTTTCATTTAATATAGTCTTCATGTCTGACATGAAAGATCTCAGGGTAGAATCAGTCAATGTTAAGGCAGATGAAACTGTGGCTGTCTATTGTAACATTGTACTAAGGACAATGATCAGCAGGCCAGAGTATATGGATAACACGATGCGAGTAATCAGAGGACTCAGACCATCTGTAGTTGTTGTCTGTGAGGTGGAAGCAAACCATAACTCACCTTCATTTTTGAACCGTTTTGTGGAGGCACTTTTCTTTTATAGTGTGCTTTTTGATTGCTTTGAGGACTGCATGGATAGAGACAATTTGGTTAGAAAGAGGATTGAGGTATTTCATATTGGTGAAGGTATCCGGAATATGGTTGCAGCTGAGGGTGCAGAAAGGTTCACACGGAATATGAAGCTTGATGTATGGAGAGCATATTTTGCAAGGTTTGGAATGGTTGAAATGGAGCTCAGCGAGTCATCTTGGTATCAAGCAAATCTAATTCTCAAGCAATTTTCCCAAGGCAGTTCCTGCAATGTTCAAAATGATGGGAAGGCCCTCCTTGTAGGATGGAAAGGAACACCCATTGAATCTGTTTCTATTTGGAAATTCTTGTAAAGACCGCTAAAAAGGATAGCTTAGAGTCATTGTAGCTAGGCAGAAAATGCAAGTAGCACATATCGAGGATAAAATGAGAGAAAGCCGTTTGAGATGGTTAGGTTATGTCCTGTGTCGACCTCGTGCATTAGTCAGTAGGTGTTCAATAGTGGCGAGTAAAAGTGATAAAACAGGACGAGGTAGACCTAAAATCACATGGAAGAAAATTGTCCCTAAAGACCTAAAGTCTCTTGGAATCCACGAAGACCTAGCGAAAAATAGGCACAATGGAAGAAAAAGATCAACATAGACGACACCAATTAATTGGGAATATGTTTTGATCAATTAGTACGTTTTGTTTAGGTCCTATGTTTCAAAATTCTTTTAGTCCCGCTGAAGATTTATATGAGAAAAAATAGAGAACTTTTTCATTTTTTGTTTATTTTGTATAATATTGATATGAGATGAGCTTAAATGGAGTGATATGGTCAGTGATGATTTACATAGCCGACCCCAACTTGCTTGCGATTGAGATGTAGTTGTTGTTGTTGTGTTACTTTAGCTGGCATCATCTTGGGCATCTCCATGACTCTTCAAACAGCTATCGATTTGCCATGCAACCCAAATATACCATGGGCAGAATGCTTTTTTTGTTTCTCAACCTCATTTTGATAAAAATGAAAGAATCAGTGAGCGAACATCATAACCGTCACAAGAAAACAAAGAGTCCAAGATAGATGCCATTCAGCCTTGCAATATTTTGTTTACAGACAGTTTCTAGGGCGCCTTCTTAATTTCATGAGCAGGTTCTTGTCTACATTTACTATAAAATGCTGGTATTCTGATAATTCCTTCATGTTCTCTAACAGTAATTTGAAAAACCCCTCAAGTATACTCCGTAATAACATACTCATTTCTTGCTTAACTAATGACTACCTGACAAAAATAAAGCACATCCACTAGTAAGTGATGAATTTCTTATTCTCGAATGGCGTTTCTTATAGACATCCATTGTCCTGCCAGTCCTTTCAACAAAATCCAGCTATATTTCATCACCTCATTAACAGAGGTTAACATCGAACAGTGATCACTTCAGTAGATCATATTATATTTGGTAGTTTGTGCATAGATTGCCAAATTATTGATCTGTTTATGTCGCTAACAAGCAACGAAGCTGTAAGCTCAATGCTTAAAGTTTTGTACTCAAATTTTAACGTTCAACAGCTAGCCCATGCAGACTTTCTAATTATAAAAGATTGGACTGCATTCAGGCCTGAGCCTTATAGTAAATAGGACAAGCATTAATCAGATTAGGAGGCAAGTTACGATTAGCCGAAGCTCTGAGATCAGTTTAAGCAATGGGCAAAAGGAGGCCACGAAATAAATGAGAATAAACGAAGAAATGCATGAGTACCAATTTGGTGCTGCTCCTACTTCCAGTGAAAGAAAAAACTTATCAAGGAAAACGTGACTTATGAACAATATATCGATCAGTTTACAATCTTAAATTAAGTAAAACTAAGGCCGGGAGCTTTGGGTGCATTTTGCTCATCCATCACTCGCCTCACAACCTCAGAATCAACATACCTGCCCATACCTGCAAGGATATTCGAAAGAAGCACATAATCACCACCGTATTTGTTTTCCATCTCCATGATCTTCTGCATAACTCTTTCTCCCATATCTGCATTATCATGAAAACTACAAGCTCCCAATAGTGTTCTCCAAATCACAACATTAGACATAGCATTAGGTATCTCCAAAGCTATTTCTTCTGCTTCTACTAACCTACCTTCTCTGCCTAACATGTCTATCAAGCTACCATAATGCTTAATGTTTGGTTGAATCCCAAACTCATCAACCATCTTCCTGAAAAACTCGAGCCCCTCATCCACTAAACCTCCATGACTGCAAGCATTGAGCATGCTCAAAAACGTTATGCGATTCGGTTCAACACCTGCATCCACCATCATCTGATAACTATCAGAAGCTTCTTTTGCCATCCCATGCATTGCATATCCTGATATTATCGACGTCCATGACACCAAATTCCTTCTTTCATTTAATATATCCTCAAAAACTCTCACAGCATCATCTATGCTTCCACATTTAGCATAAGCATCTAAAAGCGAATTCATAACACGGATATCAAAAGCATTAATACCACTTTTCTCCCCGTAAGCATGAACCATTTGGCAACACTCTAGACACCGAACATTCCAAATAGCCGGGAAAATAGCCAAAAGACTCACTTCACTCGGTTTTATCTCCTCGATCACAACCATTTCGCGGAACAATGACAATGCCTCATCAAACCGACCCATCCTCGTATACCCATCAATAAGCCCCGTCCAAGAAATGACATTCTTCTCCGGCATTGCATCGAACACCGCCCGAGCAACCTTAACATCACCCCATTTAATAGAACCACTGATCAAAGCATTCCAAGTGACAGAATTTCTAACAGGCATTTCATCGAACACCTTCTTCGCTTCCCCAACAAACCCACATTCACCATACATGTTAACCAGAGCAGTTTGCACATAAACATGGGACTCGAATCCATCCTTCAAGCTCAAACAATGAAGCTGTTTCCCGGTACCCCGTTGTGCTAAATTGGCCGATGCTTTGATCAAGAAAGAATATGTAAAGCTATCAAAAAAGATAACTTTTTGATACTGGAATCGGAGTTTCTGGAAAAGAAAAAAGGCTTCTTGTGGGAAAATACCAAGAGAGTAATGGCGAATTACAGAGTTCCAGAGAGTTAATATGATGGGTATTGAACTTGTGTTGAAGGTATTTTCAGCAGTGGTGAATATTAACTGAGTATGAATCTGTTGAATTGCTCTGCGGTAGTTTTGGTGTCTTTTAACGAGGTTAAGAAGATGATTAACATCTCTGCCCATTAATAGCAGCAAGTTTGCATTTTTAACTATGGCATGAAAGGGAAGAAAGCTTCTTCTTTGAGCCTTAACGGACTAAATTACCTAGTTAAATAATTTAACACAAAGCCAGCCCTCCCGACATGTTTTTTTTACGCGTTGTTTGGATGGTTGTTTCCGGTTGTATTGTATTGTATTGTTATGCCAGATATAATGTTTGTTTTGATTGTTAATATAAAACTGATTGTATCGTATTGTTAAATTTATTGTTCCGGAACAATAAAAAACCCCATTTTATGAAACCAAATCGGTGTGGTGGAATTGTTCCGTGTTTTCCTTTCCAATTATGCCCACACTTATTATTCTATATTTCAATTTACCCTTTACCCTATTATTTATATTATATTCACCAAACTAATAAGTACTTTAGCTCCATCTTCTTTCTGCTGTGCAACTAGTCAACGACGTATCGTCTCTTTCCAACAAAATTTTTACAGGTTACTTTTCATCTCTTTTCTTCGTGTTGTTATCAAACTTCCTCTACCTAGCGAAACCCAATTCAATTCTTCATTCTCTTTTTTGCTATTCCTGTGCTCTATTGCTTGCTATTAAGTCGTAAGTTTCTTTGGCCAATTCAATTGCTTTTTCTTTCAGCAGTTTTTGTTATGGAGTTAATGCATGGCATGGGATTTGGGATCAATTTTGTAAATAAGTTATAAAGTGAAAATAGCTTCTCTAATTTCTTTGATGACATGTATTTTAGTTTTCTGTCGTGCAACTAGTCATCTCTTTTAACTAATTCCATTGTTGCTATTGTGTGTCATGTGCTTTTTGCTCATTGTTATTATGTACCATTACTGTTGGTTTTAGCTGGATACTTTTGGCTTTTAATTTTAGTTTACTGGAAAATTTGGGAGCAGGGAACCAGAGACGATGCTGGTTTTGATTCACTTTGTTGAATCTTTTCAGAAATTTAAGATTATTTGGGACAAATGATTGAGCAAAAATAGGGCAGGGATTTTCAGTTTGGAATTATTTAGTTTCTTTGAGATATGGAACAATATCATCTTTTTCTTTATTTTTTCCTCATTTTCAGATTTTCATGGAGTTACTTTTCTATCTGTTGAATTGTGTGGATTGAGTTCATCTAAAGGTTTACCTATATTAGAAAAAATGAGAATTAATTACAACAACAAAGGAGATCTATAGGAATTAGTAATGGTTTCTCATTTGGATGTGAAAACAAAATGGAGAATATTATTCACATGAATACCTGTTTTAGTATGTTCTTACATTTGTTTTTTCTATATGTATACCTTGTTTAAAATAATTGAGGGTATTTTAGTAAACTTAGTAGTACAGTACAGTCAAACCAAACAATAAAGATGTTATTTAACAACAGCAAATGATACAGTCTATCTAAACGTTGTATCCATCAAAACGATACAATACAGTACAGTACAGTACAATACAATACATTATAAAACGATGGGGAACAATGATCCAAACACAGTGTTAGTATAAACTACTAATAATGTTGAGAGGTTGTTTGGCGAAGCTTATAAGCTGGTCAAACTAGCTTATAAGCACTTTTTGGCTTATTTACGCATTTGGTAAAGTTAAAAGTGCTTATAAGCCAAGTGTTTATAAGTCAAAAATAAGCCAAAAGTTATAAGCTGATCACCCTCACCTTATGAATTTTTAGCTTATAAGCACTTTAAGTTTGACCAAAATTTTTACTATTTTATCCTTAAAATATTCCTTTCTAGAACAAAACTCCTAAATAGATACTCACTGCCTCAAGTATTCAACCTAAACCCCCCCCCCCCCCTCCCCTCTCCCCACCTCTTCAAGTCTACAATTCTCATTGACTATTTAAGATAAGCAAATTCTCTATTCCTTTGCATACTTATATCTATGTGATTGTGTATTAATCTTTGAACTGTATGTAATAAATGAGAACATGTCAAAGTTTGGGTGTATTGCTTTCTAAGTGTTGTGATGATGAAGACAATGTTTGTTTCTCTTCAAATAATTTGCCCTATTTAGGTTTATTTTTTACTGAGAAACTTTTGTCAATTTATTAATTATTGTAACTTATGATTACATGCTTATCATAAAATATATTATATTTATCATAAAAATTATCTTATCTAAGAACAGTTGTATTTAATGTAAAATGACAAATAGAATATTTTGTATTTGAATCGATCTGGAATCTAACATTTTGAAAAAATTACGCCCTTATAAGTGTAAACAGTTCTAAGGTTATTTAAGTTATTTTAACAGAGAAAGAGCTTATCAGCATTTTTTTATCAAATACTGCAGCAACTTATTATCAATTTCAGCACTTGTACCCAAACACGTAACTGCTTATTTATTAAATCAGTTTCAGCACTTAAAAGTATTTTTCAGCATCTAATGCTTATCAGCTAATCCAAACGGGTTCTGAGTCTTATGCATGTTTAGACAGTTACGTAACATTTGCCGAATGTGATTTATAAACATTTGGAAGTTACATTAGCGAGTATTTGCTGAATGAGATTTGTAAGTCTGATTTGTATGAAATTTAGAATTCGCATTTGTTAGCGTCGGAAACCGGACAGTGCAGAATTTAGCCAAATAATATTATAATGAAAATAACAAAGACAATGCAAGTTGATAACAACGACAATTAAAGCATATAAAGAAGATACTAATTTAACGTGATTCGGTCAGTGTGACTGATCACGCCCAACTATGCCTTAGAAAAAGGACTCTGTGGACGCTGCAAATATAACCCCGAGTATTACGCCCAGGGTCGAATCCACAGAGAGTTAACCTATCAACCACTATCTTCAGACTCACTAATTCTTCAGAACCAGCTTCCCAAATATTCAAATCTCAGTTGAGTGTTCTTTAACAACTAGCTTACAAGTAACTAAATAGCTGTAAACTAAACTAATAAGGTTGTAAACAATTATGAGTAAAAGCTAAGGCAATGATTTCCCCTATTGATGGAATCCCTTCTGTTTATGCTCATACAAATTTACCAACACCTCTCTATCAATCATGAACGCAAATCTCTCCCGAGTAATCACAGTAATTTACTATTGCACTCTCCCGAGATACACTAGCTTGCTTTATTTAGCACGATTCACTTTAGATTACACCCAAGGCTTCGTTATCCCTAATTCCGCCTTTAAACCCGCAATTATAGATTCCTCTAATAATCTAGGAGTGGTGTTGTTCGACAATACCCTAAATATGCACTCTTTTCCAAGTTATGCACACTAAATAGGCACAGCTAATTGAGGATCCTGTCAATTAACTACAACAAACACGAAGTTGAACAAATAGAGATTAAACTAGCAATTTGTATTCACATAAACAAGAAGTTCATCACCCAATAGGTTCCATCAACACCTTAGACAGGGAATTTAGCTACTCATGGCTATGGAAAAATAAACTAAGATTGAATTCATCATAAAAATCAAAAGAAAAGAAGAAAGATGGTTGGAGTATTCTCTCACAATGGTTTTCCTTGCTAAGAAATCTTAAAAATCAATACATGCCTCTCTTGGGCGAAGTCTAATGTTTTAAATAGGGTTTAGGTCTAAAAATCCCGTGTTTTACACTTTGGTCCCTGAAGTTTTCGGCTTCCGCCGCGGTTCTGCCGCGGTCGCGGTCAGACCGCGGCCAAAAGCCGTCTCTGATTCTGAAATCATCCGCAGCAAGGTCGTGTCTATAAAAAAAGTGTGATGAGTTAGGAGAATTGTTAAAAAGGTCGTGTCTATAAAAAAAAGTATAGTTTGATTGCTCGAGGACGAGCAATGGTTTAAGTGTGGGGTGTCAAAATTTGATCACGCCCAACTATGCCTTATAAAAAGGACAATGCGGTCGCTGCAAATATAATCCGGTTTACAAGTCCGGAGTCGAATCCCACAGAGAACTAAGGTTTAGCTACAGCTGTTCACTATCACCAAGAAGACAAGCTTGAACAATTCCTAACTTATAGATATTAAGATTCTTATGTTTAACTAATTAACTAACAAATTAAAATAGTAAATTAACAACTAAAGATACTGAGGGTTAGAGAAAAGATTAAGGAGGTCTAGAGTTATGATTTCTCCTATTGTCGGAATCCTTCCCGCTATGTCTTCTATAATTTCGCCTAAGTATTCTCTACCGATCATGAGCACTCTTATTACCGTAAATCTCTCTCGAGTAATTACGACAATTTACTAGACGCGCTCTCCCGAGCTACGCTAGCTGGCTTTTAATACAGCTCACTTCAGATCGCACCCAAGGCTTCGTTATCCCTAATCCCGCCTTTAAACCCTCGGTTATTGATCCCTCATATACTTTGGGAGTGGTGTTATTTAACAACTACCTAAATATGCACTCTCTCCCGAGTTATGCATACTAAATAGGCACAACTAATTGAGAGCTCTTCAATCAACCAGAATATAAACGTAGTTGAACAAATAGAGAAAAGCTATGGCTCAATTATATAAAAACATAACAAGAATTTATCCTACAAAAGGTTCTATCAAAACTCTAGATAACAAATTAGCTAGTCATAATAGTATGTAAAATTACAATACTAAAAGTCATAACCAACAATGAAAAATAGGAAGAGGAAGGAAAAAACTCGTAGAAGAATTCTCCGCCTTGCTCCCAATGTGTTCTTGCCTCCAAGGGTGTTGTCTAACCCTAAAGTAGTGTCTCTCCGCCTCCTTAGGTCTAATTTGTGTCCAAAATATGTTCTTTTCTTGTTCTTGGCCGGCCTCCTTTGTTTAATATAGGGTTTAGGACTTAAAATCCCATGTTTTGCACTTTAGTCCCTGAAATTTTCGCTTCCTGCCGCGGTCGCGGTCGAACCGCGGCCAAACATGCCCTCTGATTCTTCAGTTGTCCGCGAGTACACTTTGCCGCGGTTCTGCCGCGGTCGCGGCAAAACCGCGGTTTTTCACCCTGTTCCGTTTGGAATTTGGAAAAACGTAAAACATGAAAGTTGTAGCTCTTTGAGTTAGCTTTTCAACCATATATTGTGGATCCCAAATGGAGTTCTGAGAAAAAAGTTATGTCTATTTTACTAGACAGTGCGCAATATGCCTCCTCAAGCCT